TATGAGACAATATGGATTTTGTCAGGTGCACACGGGGTGACCTTCAATAGAAGTTAGGGTTAGATCCCACTGTCTCCGGTTACCTGCTGTGAAATCTAGGGCAAGCCCACCTTCCTGCACTCCCTTTTCCTCCTCCACTGGTTGGACTGAGGGAATTGTGGGGATTAAGCACCCAAGACAGTAGGTACTGGCTCTGGCAGTGCTGAGTGCTCCATGATCCCAGTCATCGGACACCGCAGCCCGTAGGGGACCCTTATCTAGGCACCTGGGCATCCCAAGGGCATAAGCATCTCAGGGGCCATCTGTCCCTCTGACCAGAGCCACCGTGGCTATCCAGAGGACTGTCTCCACTCAGCTCGCACTCCTGGAAAGTGTGCGGCTGCTGGGTGCCTCAGACCCAGGGAGGCAGGTAGCAAAGACCCTCGAGTCAGACTACCACTGTGCTCTGGGCATTTCGTTGCTTTCAGCAATGGGCTCTGATCCCCAGGACAGAAGAGAGATGGTCACTCAGAGCTCCCCACTGCTCAGAGAACACAGACCCCTTCACCCGTCCAGTGGCCCGCCTGGTAGTGTCACAGGGTCCCTGAATCTCCTCTCCACCATGACAAGCAGTTTTCTGGAACATTCCATTTGCTGGGCCAATCCTACAGAACACACAGTCCAAACCTCTGGCATCGGTGCATGGGACTCGTCCGTAGCCCATCTGCAGCCCTTTCCAGAGAGGCCAGAACAGCCGAGACAATGAAAATTGTTCAGTGCCAAACAAATGTCAGTACAACCCATTTTCAAAGAAATCTGTATTTGGAGCTAGGGTTTAACACCGACCTTCGCAGACCTGTACCGGTCTCCCCCAAACAATCCAGGAGTGGTTGATTCTGTTTACAAGACGGGTACCGCCGCTTGTCACATATTACAAAAATAAATGCATCTCACGAGCATGCATTCTCGCCTGACATTTTCATGCTACGCTGACAGGATAAACAGTGCTGAAAGCCGGCCACGCACGCGCTCGCCAGGAAGGGGGGCCGGTGTCCGTGCTGTTGGCCGCCGCAGAGAGCACGCGGCCCTTTGCTGACCGTGTGACTTGGGGCAATTTGCTTGTCAAAGAGGCAAACCAGCTGTGCGACCACTGGGCTGACCGTCCGGTAAACCCCCAGCGACAGACACCAGGCGTGTCGCTCTCGCGCGGCGGAGCCTGCACACGGAGAACGCGGCAGCCAGCCTAGCCCAGCGGGACTCATCCCGAGGAGGGACCCCAATCTTTGTACCACTGCACACCCAAGAAAGTCCCATTTAAAAAAATATTTTAGGGGCGCCTGGGTGGTTCAGTGGGTTAGGGCCTCTGCCTTCAGCTCAGGTCATGGTCTCAGGGTCTCAGGGTCCTGAGACCTGCTCGGCAGGGAGCCTGCTTCCCCCCTCCCTCTGCCTGCCTCTCTGCCTGTGTCGAATAAATAAATAAAATATTTTTAAAAACTTATTTATTCATTTATTTAACACAGAGAGAGAGAGAGAAGGCACGCGCAAGCGGGAGCACAAGCCGGGGGAGTGGGAGAGGAGCAGCAGACTCCCCGCGAAACAAGGAGCCCGATGTGGGGCTCGATCCCAGGACCCTAGGATCATGACCTGAGCCAAAGGCAGACGCTATGACTGAGCCCCCCAGTCGCCCCCAAGAAAGTCCTTTGGAAGACGTTTGAAAGTCTGGATGCTGAGACAGAGAAACTGGATGGGGAGAGCGCTGTACTAACTGAACTTTGCCCCGGGCCCACCCTCCCTAGTGGGACGAAGCTCTTCCTGACCCTGCCCTTCTCCCCTGCTAGGGGAAGGGTGTCCCAAGGGGAAGGGTTACTGGTGCTTCTGGGCTAGGAAGCTTCCCAGTGCCGCCATCCTCCGTGCTCCCTGTGGATACTGGAGACTGGCAAAGCCAGTCAATCACCATCCCTCTTGGGGAGCACTTCTCGAAGAGCCAGTGTTCTCAGAAGCAGCTTCTGGTGAAGGCTGCCCAGAGGGCTGGCTAGATCTCGGGGAGCCTCCTGGCGTTTCTCTTGTCCTGCTCTGATTTCCTGACCCTGTGGTTCCAACAAGGACCCGCAGGCAGGTGGCATGTCCTCTGCATTCACTGTAAACGCCTCCCAGTGGGTGGGCTCCAGGCTCTGTCAGACACGAGGCCCTCGCCTCAGGCCCTGGGCCTGCCCGCGGTTCCCAGAGGCCGCCAGGCTGCACCTGATCCCTCTCCGAGCGCCAGGCCCGCTGGGTCTGCCAAAGGGTCCCCCACACCAGATCACATGTGTGGCAGGTCTGGGGGCAGCCCCTCCCACAAGCACAGGCATCATGAGCTTTGCTGGTGGGGTAGGAAGGGGCCGTGAGGCCGAGGAGGCGCTCAGCGCTGTTCCCCGGAGGCGCCCTGCCCGCGGCCCCTCCACCTCCATTCGCCGACATCCCGGGCAGCCAAGACCCTCCCGGAGCACCGCGTCTGCGGAGAAGGGGCCCTTGGACCTTCGCATCCCAAGTCCGCCCGTGCGGAGACGAGAGTGCTTGGGCTTCAGCATCTGTGGCAGCCTGGCATGGCCTACTGCGGTGACGCCCCTGACCTGCTTCTCCACAGCCTCCTCCCGGGCACGGGACACACGCACACCGGGGCCGCTCCAGGGCAGACTCGTGCTGGCTCCGCGCCCCAGACAGGACTGACCCCAACATGAGGTGGCCTGTGAAGTCCGGTCAGAGCCGGGGCCCCAGGACATTAGTCCGTATTATACACAAGACAAACTCCAAGACAGCTGTCTGTCTGTCCAGAGCGAACTCTCGGGGCCCGATAAATGCACAGAGTCCAGGGCCACGTAACGGAACCCAAACTTCAAAGGGGAACAAACCCAAATTTCAGGTTCTTTGGGGAAAGCACGCTCTACTTTTCATTCCCCAGGGACATTCTAAACTACAAAACAACTCTAAAAAGCTCCTGGGCCCACACGGCAAAGCCACAAGGACGTCACAGGGCCAAGGCAGCTGTCACAGTCCACACAGGCCAAGTGCACCAGCACCAGGTGCTTGTGTTTTTAAACGCATTTTCTACCAAAAAACTCCATTACAGACCAATATCTGACATCCAAGATTATCAGGGGAGACAAAGCAGAAGCTGTAAGTTTACATATCAGCATCTGCAGAAATGGCAGGTTAAAATCTGTAAGCGAAGGGACCAGGGACCGCAGACACACTAGGCCCTGGTGCCGGCCGTCCTGCCCTCCTCCAGTGCACAGGCCCGGCCCATGCAATGAGCCCCCGAACCCGTCCTTGCCGGCCAACTTAAACGCCCAAACCTTGGGGCGCCCGGGTGGCGCAGTGGGTTGAGCCTCTGCCTTCCGCTCAGGTCATGATCTCAGGGTCCTGGGATCGGCCCCACATCGGGCTCCCTGCTCAGTGGAAAGGCTGCTTTCCCCTCCCCCTCTGCCTGCCTCTCTGCCTACTTGTGATCTCTGTCTGTCAAGGAAATAAAAAAATTGTTTAAAAACAAAAGCCCAAACCTTGCTGGCCAGTGACTGGTGGCGTGAGAGATGGATTCATCCAGAACAAGTAGCTCAAACGCCCTCAATCCTGTCATTCTAAAGTGTCCTGGGGTTGTGCCCTTAGACACTTTCAGCCTGCGCTTGCCCGCGGGTGACAAGCCCGGCTCCCCCAGCCACAGGCACACAGGGTCCCCCACTCAGACAGCCAAAGTCTCCTCTCGGAATAGCGTCCCCTGTGAGCCTGCGCCAGCCGCCCGCTCCCCTCCACGTCCAGCGGATCACCCTCGGTTCCTCCCCACACCGGGCCTTCCAGTGTCCAAAGGTACAAAATCAAGCCGTCAGGACAAGTATTCGCTTTTAAAAGTGTTTTAATTACAAATGTGATGTTGAAGCCTGGACACACAGTGACGACACCCTCTCCCGAGAACCCGCCGCTCCCTACGTGCGACCGCGTGTGCCTGAGTGTGCAAGTGTGTGCGTGCACTCGGCGGAAGGCCTTCCGCTCGGAGCTCTGCTGTGCCCTGTGGCGGTGACATTTCTACAGAAAGGCCACAGTCACTTGAAAAGATGTTTGCTAAATGGACACTTAGTTTTTGTTAAGTAATTTTAATTACAGGCTGCTCTGGACCCTCCTGCGGTGCCCGCCCGCTGGGACTCGCCCGCGTCTGAACGCACATGCTGGGCAGACGGGGACACGGCTGGTCGCAGGCGTGGACAAGGCGCTGCAGGCCGGGACACTGGCTCTGTGATGCAGTGTGGCCCGCGCTGACGAGGATGCCCTGGTGACAAGAGGAGCGGACGAGGGCAGAGGCAGGGCTCCCTTCCCCGCTGGGAGCGGCCCGGGGAGTTTGGTCGACAACCCTCGAGTTTCCGGCCGACCCAGAGTGTCAGGGTAATGCTTCCTCTTGGACAGACAATTGGGGATTAATGCATATGCTCTTCAGCAAAATACTATTCAAGTAGTTTTAACTTAAATATTTTAAAAGTAATTTTACATTATCGAAGATTGGTAAAAAATACAGAATCTGACAACTTTTCATTTCATTCAATCTGCTGCTTTGACAACCTCCACTCCCGCACTACTGTCATTCCTGGCCTGGGGAAAGCTCTTCCAAGGACTTTCAGATCCATCTTCCCTGTTACTGGTTCACGTCCGACAGTCCCGGAAGCCCTGCGCCCCTGCGTGACGAGGAGGACTGTGAAGGGATTTACGACTATGGGAGCCCCTCCCGGTCACGGGCTTTAGTTACAAACTTTACAGGGAAGAGGGTGCGTGCGGTCAGCGACACAGCCCAGCCAGGTCCCGTCGGCGGAGGAACTGCAAAGGGTTTCCCTTTTCCACCCTCGACGGGAACATGATGAGCCCAAGTGAAGCTTTACAGAGGCTGCGACAGTAGCAGAATGTTTGGCAAAATCGAAAGTTAATTAGAATAAAACCCCCAGCAGGGACGGTGGTGCCGCTGCGTGCACGGTCGCTGGAGAAGCCGGTCTCTGCTGCGGCCGGAGCTCCGGGAAGCCTCTTGGCGCAGTCCAGCCTCCGGTGCCGCGGCCGCTCCAGCCCTCAGTAGATATCCGGGCAGCGGGAGAAATTCCGCTCAAAGTAACCCCCGGTGTACAACCAGTCGGGCGTCCCCGTGTGCGGGTTGCTGCCCTGGTGGAACCACCTGCAACACAGACGAGGGCTCGGGAGGCGCGCGCAGTCAGGGCCGTGCTCCCCCGCCCTGAGGACGCGGCCCCCCACGGCAGCGGCCCGGGCGGCGACTTCAGTTGAGAACACCTAATCACGCCTAATCACGCCTTCACTGGCACGGACGCGGTCCCCTACGAACAAGCCTGGGGTTCGCCAGCCAAAGCCCAAGGATTTAATAGAAAACACGCTGCGCCAGCGGCGAAGACTGACGTCTGCTCCGCGGGGCCTGCACCTCTCAGGATGGGAGCGCGCACTGCTGCGCCTTCCCGCGGAGCCTGTGTCGGGCCGTGCGGAGGGGAGGGCCAGCGGGTGGAGGGGAGAGCCTGAGGGCAGAGGGACGACAGTGGCCACCACCGGGCCACGTTTTAAGCCATGCGCCCTAGGAAGACCCCACTGGCTCCCGTGGGGCACCTGTGCCCCTGTGCCATCCACCATCCTGACCATCCCCACCCCCCCACCGAGCGCCCGCACCTGCAGCCCTCCCATAACCCCAGCCCCCACCCCATGACCCCCACCCCTCTCCTCCAAGCCCTACCCCATTCCATGGCACCGCACCCCCACTGTGCTCCCACTCCTGCAGCCCCCCATCTCCTCCCCCTGCACCCCTCCTTACTCCGCCCCCACACCTCTGCCGTCCCCGTCCCTCCTCTGCCCCTGCAGCCCCCTCCTGCCCACCCCTGCGCCCCTCCCCCGACCCCCTGGGCCACCTCTACTTCTGTTGCACGACATGAAGACAACAGAGGATAGTGGGTGTGGGGGCTCACAGGGTAGAAGTCACCATCTTAGGACGAAATATCATTACCTCCACAATGTACTTTTAAAATCAACTACTTAGAGAAAAACAATGAAATAAGGTTAACTCTTTTTAAGCTTTTTCTGGAAGGAAGCCAATTCCAAATATCAAACTCCTGAAAGCATGGTATTAAACCGGGAGCCCAAGCACAAGGAGTCTGCTGTAAGAATGTCGGTCACGTGACCGTGGCTGGAGGCTCCCATCCCGGAGTCTGAAGCGTGATGGGAAGGAACGGAGCCAACAGCGCGCGGCCGCCTCAACACGGCTGTGGGGTCGCGCGTGAACAGACACACGTTTCTCGTTATGCTTAAGCGTCACAGCACTTACCTCACTGAGCCCTCGTGGTGCGGGTCATTCTCCCCTTGCCCCGGACAAGTGACAAACCGCAAGTCCCCACGATTCCACAGGGAGAAGCAGGCGGCAGCCCCGGGGGGCAGCGTCCGCTGTCTTTCTGTGTCTCTGTCACCTGGTCTGAGCACAGGTGTGTCCTGGCCGACGGGCGCCCCGGGACACACGGGGCACCATGCCCCACCCCCCGCATCCCCTCAGGCCACCTGTGCCACGTGGCAGGTGGTGTGGAGAAGAGCAGCCAAGCAAGCCGCGGGGCGACGGCTCAGCACACGGCTTCTTCCACGGCGCTGCCCGTCCGGAAGCTGGGCCTGCCTCCTGCTAACGGCTTGGTCCAGACTACGTTTCCTTCTAAAACGTGCCCTATCTGAGCAGAGCGCTCGGGGTCAGACACGCCGCGGCAGGACCGCGAGCCCGGGTCTGAGGTGACCTGTGCCTGCACCGCGGGCCCGTCTGCGCTGTGGGCCCCACGCTAATGGGGCCCCAGGAGAGCTTCTGCTCAGCCCCAGGGGCACATGGAGCCCTCACCACTACCCCCTCCCAACCACCGAGGCCTCACCTTGTCTGCCACTCAGCCTCGTGTTTGGCTCGCTCTCTCCGGGCCTCCCTCTGCTTCTCCTCCAGCCGCTCCTTCTCCTGGCTCGCCAGATCTGGGGCCAAGCACACGACAGCACTGACGGTGAAGCTTCCAGCCGACCTCAAGCAGAGCAGACACCGGGACGCCCCCACCCCCGCACCTGAGACCAACAGTCACACCGGCCAGAAATGTCACTGGGGGGCGCCTGGGTGGCTCAGTGGGTTAAAGCCTCTGCCTTCGGCTCAGGTCATGATCTCGGGGTCCTGGGATCGAGCCCCGCATCGGGCTCTCTGCTCAGCAGGGAGCCTGCTTCCTCCTCTCTCTCTACCTGCCTCTCTGCCTGCTTGTGATCTCTGTCTGTCAAATAAATAAATAAAATCTCTAAAAAAAAAAAAAAAAAAGAAATGTCATTGGTAAACCAAACTCCGTCACGAGCGCACGGTGGCGCCCGGACACCAGTGGGGCCACAGCGAGGGGCAGGCTGTGTGCCCGCACCACACGGGCATGCTGCACAGCCTGTGAAACGGCACCACGCAGGGGTGCGGTGAGGCTCACGGGCAACCTGACCCACAGGGCAGGGACAGCAGGAGCCGCTTCCCATGGACCCGGCCCGCAGCTCAGCTGCCACGCGGGAGCCCGAGGGCCGCTGCCTGGTCGCGATTGCGAGCTTAGAGGCTGGTTCTCGAGAGAGGGGTCTGCACGTCGGCCAGCCCACCCTGAGCAGTCTCTCTCTCCACTGAATGCCCACTGTGTACACAAATCCCAGGGCCACTTCGGACAGCCCTCTGGGGAGTCATGGGCTGCTGACCTGACCGAGGCGGCAAGGGAGGGAGCCCGCGGCCGGCTCCCTGGTCACACGGACGTGTCCGCAGTACACGAGAGGCCGAGCCTGGGACAGGGGCCTACTTTTCATGAACAAACGTGCCCTCTTTGGAATGCCACCCCAATGTCTGCGGGCACTAGCAAAGCCTGGGGGTCCTGTAGTTCGCACGCATTCTGTTTCATTGCCTTCTTCCTGTCATTTAATTGTATTAATGCATTTAATTAATTAATTAATTAAATAATTAATGCAATTAATTAATTGCAAAACGATCAGCCTGCGATTAGCTAGCTTCCTTAGAACTCTTCCAGCACGGAGAGAGCACGAGACGCACTGTGCTGCGCGTCCCTCTCTGCACCTGCGGCCCGTGTGCCCCTGCCCCGCCCGCGTGCGCACCCATGTCGCCGTTCTCCATGCCGCGGATGTCAGGACGTAAGCGGCAGTCCGTGGGGGGCAGCGTCTCCTCCATGCCGCGCTGCAGCTCGTTGAGGCTGACGGTGAAACTGCTGAAATTGTACATCTGGGGAAAGAGGCACAGGCGCCGTTGCTCTGAACAGCCCTGGCTCCTGTGGACGGCTCACGGCGCGAAGCCATGGGAGCAGTGGAGCGTCACCCGCTGCCCCGCCGATCCCCCGCCCAGGTGCGGCCTGAGAGCCACACACGTGCCCCTGCTCCCCACAGGTCCGGAGAAGGCCCCGGCACGGCCTTAGACACGGGGTCAGAGGCAGGAGCCGCGGCCGCCCCCCACTCCGGCTCCGTTCCTGGGCCCGGGGCGCACCCAGTGTCTGGCAGGCGGCTCCACACAGACTGAGCCGAAGGACGGAGAAATGGGCGCTATTTTAAAAGAGGAATTCCCTCAAAATACATAAGCCTTTTTTTCATTCCATCATACTGTTCACATCCTGATGAGAGCAAACCCTAGCCAGCGAGGTAACAGGTACACAAGGGGGTGTTTGGTTTCCTTTCACTTACGTACACATGTTCTGCCACGTTAACAGGACAAGAAATACAATAAGAAACCGTGTAATATGTTTATGTACAATTTACATATGAACAAGATAATTAGCAGTAGATATTAAAGTAAATTTATTGCACGTTATTACATTTACTATACAGTTACTTCATATGTGGTATGTTATTAGACACAGTATGACCTCACTACATGTAATATAAATGAAGAACACACACCAAAATGCATTTAAGCCTCTAAATTGATAAGTGAGAAAAACCGCCTCAGACCAACCCTGAAGCACCTTCAGGCCCCGGAGGCCGCAGGTCATCTAGAGCAGACAGGGTCACGCGCGGCACGAGCTGGGGCACGGCACGCCTGCACGACATGTGGGCAGAGCATGGCCTTCGCCTCAGGCCTGGCCTTGGCGGGGGCTCCGGGAGGGCCAGGGGCGCCCACGGCTCACTCTGCAGCACGGTCCGACCGGGGGACAGAGGGCCCCTGAGCTCCGGGACAACGGCCTGAGGCGGCGTGTGCACAGCCCCAGGGAACAACTGAGGGGCCTTGCCAGGGTTCAGGGGCACAGAAAGTCCCGGACCTGCAGGGGGGCGTACGAACCTGGGCAGAGTTGGGGGGCCGAGTGTTGACCCTCCAGAGTAGCTTGCTGCCAGGAATGACCTGCACCGTCTCCTGAACCTCGGGCACGGCGTCCGCCACGTCACCTTCGGCTTTCTGGGAGCCGTCATCCTGAAACACAGAACACCTTGGGACGGCCGGCCCGGAGGGACAGCTCTGCGTGAGCAACTGTCCAGCCAGCGGCAGCCCTGGGCAGAGCGAGACGGGCTCGCCAGCGAGGAGAAGATGCGGTCGTGCTCTCTTTGCCGGGGCTCCCCCGAGAGAGGGCAGGGAACCGGCAGCAAGGCAGGGCCTTCCTGGGGGGAGAAGCCCGCCCAGCTCCAAGCATCGCCTGCGAGTCTGCTCGAGTCTGCTCGCCGCTGCAGGGGCCACGCCTTCCCAAACAGCGGGTCCGGTTCGAGCTAAGGGAGGCGCTCCTGAGCCGGAGCCAGTCCCCTCACACCACAGCCCGGCCCGCAGTCGAGAACTGGCTCGCACCTGGGGTTTCATGGCGCCTCAGCACTTCCACACTGAGCCCCAGCTGGAGAGCACCTCAGCAGAAAAACATGCAACGACCACCTTACTTTGCAAACTCAGTGGGGCCTGGAGAAAGAAGTGGGCCCCACGCGGCTGTTCCAGAATGCTGGACTACGACACAGTGGCCTCAGGAACCCCCAGCCGACTCCGACAGGGTGAGGTATTGCTTGCCGCAGGCCACGGGGTTTGCTACCAGAAAGTTCGGGAAAGGCAGCTCAGGGATGAGTGTTCACGTAGAACTCCCTCTCACATCTAGGTCACCCAAAGGACAGCGGAGCTAAGCTAAGTCTCCACGTTCTTTAAATGGAACTTTCCTTTTTTCGGAAGTCAAGAGCACGGTCAGAAGAAGGCCACACAGCCAGATGCTGACGCCCTGGGGAAGGCCCAGCACCTTCGGGAGAGAAACACTGAACACTCTGGGTCTGGCCCGTGACTTCTTACCTCGCAACATCGGACGCCTCTTTTGAACTTTCTAGTCTGAGGCTCGAGTAACTAGGCCCGAGGGCACCAGAATCCCAGAGCTCCCGGGGAAGCCCTGTGGCGAAAACACTGCGACTGTGGGACATACCCTGAACTGAAAACACAGGCGCGACACTCTCTGGGTGCCTCAACAGGGTCTCGGAGAACAAGCGTCAGCGAGCTGGCAGGTCACAAGCAAGCACGCAGACCGCAGGGTCGCCAGAGAGAAACACGGGTGCCTGTGCACTCTGCCAGGCTTAGGGGGACGTGGTGGCAAACCAAGGAACCCCAGGCCATCTGATAACGCAGCCTGTGCACAACCCGCACACAGACGAGCCCGAGCCCCACGCAACATCTGGACAAGCAGCCAGCCCGCGGACGGAAGTCTGATTCCCAGCACTGGGCGTCAGCAGCCGGAAGCCCTGTCCCCCACCCCCACCCCGGGGACCACCCCTCGCGGGGAGCAGCACCTTACCGGCTGCGTCTTGCTCGGCGGGTCACCTCTCCTCTCCCGTTTCCTGAACGACTCGTACGCAGCAGGGTCAACGCCCCACAAGCACTCTGTCCATTTCCCGTAGATAATGAAGAGCTTCTTCTTGCTGTAGTCAAAAGAAATTTTTATTTTTTTCTAGCTTATCGTTTTAGTAATCTCTACACCCAACTTGCAACCCCAATGTCAAGAGTCATGTGCTCTTCCCACGGAGCCAGCCGAACGTCCCGTCGAAAGGAATTTTAATCCTGAACCATTCATCTAAATGTGCAGCACCTAAATCTCGGCCACGGAATAAACGCCCATTCTGACCTACCTCCTCGTAAATCTTAGGACCTCTCTGGACCTAAGTGCAACAAGGAAAATCTGCCTTTTAGGGTCCCTACAAGGGCCTGATTCGCCAACACAACAAAGAAGATGAGGACACATAGCCCCGAAGGGGGGCTGCCAGGGCCCTGCCGCCAGAAGAAGATAAGAAACGGGGTGTTGGGTACCCCAGAAGCCTGCGGGCCTGTCGGGTCACCGCCCTGACATGCACCAACTTCCACGCATGGTGTCCTCCCCCTTTCCTAGAAGTCACTTCAACAGCCCTTCAGTCTCCGTGGACGCTGCGTGCTTTGTCTTCACAACCGCAAATCGGATGCCCACACCACCACTTGCTCTACTTGCTTCACGGAATGTCAATCTCTGGGGACTGTCCAGAGCAACCACCCGAGCACTCTGCCGATTCCAAAAGAAACACCGACAGAGCTGGACTGTGTGTGTGTTTCTTTTCTGCATCCTCCCGCGGGGGCGGCACAGTGGCCACGCGCTCCTGGAAATGCTACTCTGGCAGGCGCTCGACATCCTGGGAGGCCCCCGTCTCGGGCTCAGCCTGGAAAGCTGGGACGTGGGGCCTGGCGGGGGGACACTCGGCCAGTCCTCGCTTAACAGACACCTTGGCCGACACGGTCTGTCTCCAAGAGGGAAGAGCTCACCCCAATTTGGGACAGAAAACCAGAAAATCAGAACAGGGCTAGCAGCCCCTAATGGCTGGTGAGCGTGGCCCCGAGGTGCGGCACAGACTCCGCTCCCACAGCTGCGTCTGTGTGCACCCCGAGCCCGGTCTCCTCCCGGGTTGTTTCTGCCCCAGGGAGAAGCTGCTCGGGCGCTGCTGGCACTCTTGTCACAAAGACGACTGCGTCCTCCAAGTCCGCGGGCTGAATCCTGACTTACATCGAGGGGCAAGGTGGTCACAGCCCAAAGCCTAAAAGCATCTCACAGGCCGTTTGAACAGGTAACTTTCTGGTACCCAAGAGCAGGAAGGAGCAGAAGCTCCCACTGCTTTACGGGGGAGACCTGCTTCTAATTAGAAACGTGCAGGGGCCCCTGGCTGGCTCAGTCAGTAGAGCAGGTGACCCTTGACCTCAGGGCAGTGAGTTCAAGCCCACACTGGGCACAGAACCTACTTTTAAAAAGAAAAAAAGAACAAAAGAAAACGTATAGCTTTGGAAGCAGACAGGAAATCCATGACATTATATGAAGCCCGAATTCCTTATTGTGGGAAAAAAATGAGAAATTTGAGACCAAAAACATAAGGTAACCCAAGGAGCAAAGACCCCAGAAAATGCGTTGTGACCTCCTGACCGTTTCTCTCCTCACAAAGACTTTAAACGTCCCTCCCTCATCGACCGGATGGAGCAAGCCAGTCACACCGGTGGGGGTCCCGGCTGTGCCCACGGCCTGCAGCAGGCACGGCCAGAGACGGGGACACACGCACTCACATTTCCAACCTCGGTTCTGGTCGCAAAACCACAGAAGTAGCTCTCCGTGCTCACACGTCCATTTCTATCCAAGGAGAACAGACACAGATCTCTCCGCCCCCAGAGAGGGATGGACAGACCCCACTCTCTCTCTTGCCACCCAGAGGCGATACTTCCAACTAATCCTTCGTCTCCCTGCGGACTCAGTAAGGACCTGTCTCTTCTAACTAAAAGGAGTCCTCGTCTGTTCTACTGAGAGCGCATGTCCCGGTGTCACTGTGTCGCTAACAAGGTAACGCGCCTGAACCGTCCGTGCGCAGACCTACTTCTTGTCTTGAATGTGGCCCTCCACTCTGTGAAGTTCTTTTCCGAACAATCCACAGGGTTTAAAGTGAAGCACACACTTATCTCCGGTTCTGCGGAGAAAACAAACACAGGCCTCTGTTGTTGATGGGAGATGCGCGGGAGAGGTGGATGGGGACAGAGAGGCGGCAGGGGCAGCAGCAGGGGGTGATGGCACACGGGTGTGGGGGAGCTCGCTGCGCTGGAGGTAAGGTCCCAGCGCCGCCTGGGGTGACGGCTGCACACTTCGGTAAATACACCAAAAACCACTGAAGTTCCCACTCTAAATGGGCAAACTTTAGGGTCTGCAAACTGGTCCCCATAAAGCTGCTGGCAAAGGAAGCCAATAGGTCCTGCGCTCCTAGGGAGAAGGCAAGGACGGCGGGAAGCGTGGGAGGGTGGTCGTGACTTTGTCCTCTGGGAATCACACCATTCTCCGCTGAGGTTTACAATTTCAAAATAAATTCATGCTCATGACTAACACCAAAACGGGAAGCAACAACAGGTACTGGAGCCGATACCAGCGCCGACCAGCGCCACACCAGCCCCACTGGGCCCGGCCCCCACGGACAGGCTTCAGGGAGCCGGGCGGAAGCACCCCCTGGAGGACGCCGCGCGCGCGTGTTCCTGCGGGCGCCGGCACCTGTGGTTCACGATCTCCACCGTGCCGTACTGCTCTATCCAGAGCTTCCCGACCAGCACGTTGTGCACGCAGCAGGTGGGGTTGGTCCAGGTGTAGGCTTCCCCGTGTCTGTGAAACAGGCCAGAAACAAGGAAGTCAGAGGCCGGCAAAGCGACAGACACTGCGCGGCCTAAAACGCAAGATACCAGACGGAATTAAACCATAATTGCCTTAAAACCTGTACGAGAGCAGAATGTGGCTTTGAACTCCCTCCAACAGTGGCGATTTATTTAGCATTTGTTTGAAATTCGCTTCTGCTTTCCTTTGTAGCATCAACAAAGCTTTCTGCTGAGAGGCCAGATAATGAGGGGCAGGAGGCCGCCCGGACAGAGACGCCAAGGTCCTGGGACCTGCAGCAACAGCCCAGGCCGGCCCAGGGGTCAGGGAGCCGCTCCGCGGCAGGGGTGCTGGGGTGCGCGCGGCCGCTGGGAACAACCTTCCAACACCTTTGCGCGCGCTCCTCCGCCTCCCCGAACGGCCGGGCCCAGGGAGAGAGCTCCAGCGAGCACGAGACCCGAGTCTTGAGGGAGGCCGTGTGAAAGGGCCACGCTCAAGGGCAGAGACCAGCCCAGAGCAGAAGCATCCAGGACCAGCATCTGAATCCCTCAGACTTCCGGGGGGACAAAAATGCACCCATCGATACGGTTTGCCACGTTTCAGTTCTGCACGCCTCACCCCAAGAAAGCAAAGACTGGCAAGCTTCCCAGAAAACGGGGTGTCCCCACTGGGCCCAGAGGTGCACGGGTTCAGGCACTGGTATTCCGTGGCCCCCATCTGGGCTGGGCGGGGCCAGCATGAAGCAGAAATGACACCAAATGCTTCCTGACAGCAGGCTACGGGGAGCAGGACCAGCCCTCTGAGAACCAAAGGCCCGCCGTGGCCCGGACCGTCGTGGATGGTGCGGTGACATCTGGGTGATCACCGAGGACTCAGTTTTCGGTTTGCAAGGTGTCTGCCCAACACTGCCCTTGGGGGGAGGGGCTGGGATGGAGATTTAACAGGTGCATGGGCAGACTCCAGGATGCCCCTCGATGTTCCCAACCTCCAGGATTCAGCCTGTGTCTCTCTCCTGCCCTCAAGCTGACCAACAGGGGTTTAAGGTTAGGATCGCTCCTGAGTGAGGTCATAGAAGACACCACGGCTTCTGCCACTCACGGCTCCCCGGCCCTGGCCCTCTGGAACCATGTGAGAGGGCAACAGTGGTGGCTGGAGGCTCGAACGTTTGGGGAGAGCTAGCACCGGCAGCGACAAGAGTGGCCCCGATCACATGAGGCGCGCAGCACACAGGCGTGTGAGCTGCATCCGTCCCGGGAGGGGTCTGGGGAGCTCCCCCTTAAAGGGGCTGCTGCGGTTGGAAATGGCTGAACAGGGAAAGGCTGTGACACCCCGGCCCCCCACCCCGGGAGGAGGAGTGTGCGCTTCCGTGGGGCCCGGCCGCCGCACTCACTTGAGCAGCTCCAGCGTGATGGTGCCCTGAGGCTCAGCCTCCACGCTCTTGCCCCAGAACTTGAGCTTCGGGTAGATGGAGCCGTGAAACAGGAAGTCCTGATTGAGGCCTTCTGAGTAAAACGCACTAATGGGGGGGTGGTGGCTGACCTGTTCAGATATGAATCTGAATCCCAAATCCTCCCTGGGCACAAAAACAAGAGGGGAGAGAGCCATATTAGAGACCGCAAAGGCCCCCCAGGGCCGGCTCGGCATCCGTCGCGGGGAGCCCCGCAGCCCCTGGCCCGGCGGGAGGGGCACCGGGAGAGGCGCAAGTGCGCTCCGTGGCCCCCGAGGGGCGCCCAGCCCTGCTCACTGACCGCACACATGGCCGAACGCTCCCTCACGCGTGCACACACTTGCACGTGCGTCTGCCATGCCTCTGGGGCACATCTGAACGCCACACGGAGCAAGGAAGAGTGTGGAGGGTCTCTTCCTGACCCTCTGCCCGTGCCCCCCCAGCACACGCGGGTCCAGCTGTGTCTCCTGGCACCAGGGACATAGAGGCCCCAAAGCCAAACCACCGTCTCAGTCCTCAAGGGACGGCGCGCGCCTCAGGGCTTCTTCTCTAGCTTCTCCTCAGGCTCCTGGAAGTTTCCGGATGGAATGTCTGATGCCCAAGACACTCCTGGCCAGGAAACAGGATTCTCAGTACACGCTCTTTTTCAATAAAAATGTCAGTTTTTAATTGTTCCGGAACTGTGAATACACCTACAGCTGTAGTCATTAAAAATTATAAAAGCTAAACCACATAATTACTAACTTAACTGGAATCAGAATTTCCAATCATTACAGAGGAAGGAAAGCTGAAAAATTAGATTTTAAAAGGTTGCCTACCAAGGTATGTAATTTACAAAATGAACACTTGTCTAAGAAAAGAAAGTGCTATTTTGGGCTCTAGGGGAGCCGTCTGTAGGGAAAAAGACACAGAGCACGACTTGGTTCACGGGCGTAGTTCCTCGCGCAGGAGGACCCCTCAGGGCCCTGCCCACAGCAGCGACCTGGGCGCCAGGCCGGGACACGCGCGGCACCTGCAAGGCTGGGAAGGCTCATTTCTCTGTCGGTGGAACCTGGCTCAAGCCCCGAACGAAGGTCCTGGAAAAGACGGACGTGCAGGTGTCCCTGCGTCCAGCACCGGGGCTGCTCACAGACCTCAAGCTGCACGGCTTGTCTGGAGCTCCTTCTGGATTATGTTTCATTTCTCTTTTCAAGATACGTTAATGGTGCTTCTGAATAAACGAGAAGGCCCGCCGTCTGCTCAGAGCTAGACAAGGTCAGAACCCTGAACTCCGCCCCCACGGCCCCGACCGCAGGGGCAGCTGTTGCTCCGTAGGAGGAGTTCTAGAGAAGAGAGAACCTCCACGTGATGGAGGACGAAAGGGTCCCTGAAGAGGGGCTCTCGGGGCAGGTTTTTCCCTCACGCAGGCCTCGGTTTCCCCATTTCTGAACTGAAGAAGCAGGGACTTGCCAGCTCCACGCAGGGTCTCCTGCTGACTGCTGTGGCCGCGAGCACACCCGCGGCAGCACCGGGCCTTGACCCGCCAGCCCCCTTGAGGGAGAGCAGGCGCCCGAGCACTCGGTGCCCGCCAGCCCGTCGGTCCCTCAGAAAAGAGGCCGCTGCCCCGGGGCCAGCAGCAGGCGGTGGGGGCCACGCCGCGGGGTCGGCAGCAGGCCCGCCCAGGGCAGCCAGAGACAGGCGAGTGCCGGACACTAGACACTTGGGTCGCTTCCCCGACTGCTGAGCGACTGCCGTGAAGAGGCGCGGGCCGCCTGCGTGGCTGCGGGTGACGACTCTGCCCCGGCCGTCAGAGACCAGGGCTGCCACTCGCCCCGGCACACGCCCACAGCGCGGACTGCAGCAGACCAGCGTGCCCGGTCCCCGCAGCCACTTACTCCCCCTGGAAGAACACGCCGTCGGCGACAGCACACGGTACCAAGGGCAACAAGGAGCCCAGGGAGCACAACCTGAAGGACTCTGAAGCCAAGACGCCGGGGACCACACAGCGCACATGGCCTCATGACAGAAAGCAGCAACGCCAGGCACACCATGACACGCGTCAGACACGATACACGGCAGCAACACTCCGCACAAGCTGGTCACATCGTGGGGACACGAGGACGGCACGATGCAAAGTGGCAGGCAATACGAGTTACCGCAACCACACCACGTGACACACACACACGACACACGAGGAGGCCCAGCCAAATGCACACTTGACAGGATCACGCCGGACTCGTCTCACTTTGCTCAGTTCACACGTTTTCTACAAGGAACATACTCTTATAATCAATACCAACTTTTATTTGATGAAACATTCCAATAAACTCTCCCCAGAACTCGGGGAGAGACAGAATAAAAATTATCCCCATCATCTCCAAACGGCCCCACAGGGCTGTGCACACCCACGCTCACGCGGCCGAAGCCGCACACTCACACTCACCCTCACACTCCCAGAGTCACGGCCGGGGCTGGACAGCTTGTCCTTCCCCGGCTGATCTGGCGGCAAAGACAACATTGCCCTCAGCTTTCGCGCGTGTGCCTGGGTGGGCAGCGGGGTCAGAGGAGCACCCCCCAACAGGCCCAGGTCACCCTCCCGGGACCCCAGCAGGACTGCCACAGGCAAGGCCGGCCCTGGACCGCGCAGGCCTCGGAGACCGGGTCAGAAGCTGGGGAGCTGCCCGAAACAAACTCTGCCCGGAAGGGTCTCGGCCTCTCACGGCCTCGGGAGGCTGTGGCCACTGCACTCGCCGGCGCCGGCCGCCCTCCAGCAGCTTCGTCCCTCTGCGTCCCCAGCCCTGGCGACCCCAATAGCCTGAGTCCTTACCTGATCAGCTCGTAAGTCTCTCCCAGGAGGGGGTTGAAGGGCTTGCCGGTCCTCTCCCACTGGGAAGCCACCGCAGACACCGCAAAGGCCGCCACGCACTGGGGGCAATGCACATGGCAGTGAGCGGGGGGCAGGGGGCGCATGCGCAGCTCCCCAGTGGCAGGACGCACTCCTGGCGGCCCCAGTCTCCTGCTTGTCACGTGTTTGGAGGTTACAGAACTTCCGGAGAAATGCCTTTATCACGGACACTTCCTCAAAGCCACACAGGCAGGAACAGTGCGCGGCTTCCCCACCCCAGCCCCGCCCAGCCCAGAGGCCCCGCAGCCCAGCTGGTCAGTCCAGCTAGTACACCCACACGCACACCGGGTGCCAGTCCCAGAAAGACCCAGGAGGAGCCGAGGTACAGGGCCCACCGCCACCCACGGAGATCAGGCCCTGGGACAGACGCCGGAGCCGCTGAGCAGGATGGCCCCCAAAAGTCAGTGTGGGCCACATGGGCTCATCCCCCCGACGCCCCCCAGCTGAGGTGCCTGGTCCCCACCACGATGTGGCCGATCAGATGGTGTCAGTCTGGCCCACACGCTCCATGCCGGCGCCCCCTGGAAGGAGCCCAGCACCTACCTGCATCCTCTCCAGGGCCTGGGGCCGGCGGCAGGCGCTGCGGACGAGGTACACGTGCTCCATGTACTCCGTGAGCCGCTGCAGGAAACTCAGGGGCTCGTTGAAGGCGATGGGCATGGTGATCTTGGACAGCTCCTACAAGGGGCGGGAGACCCGTCACCGGGGGCTCACGCGCACCCTGCTCGGGGCCCAGGGAAGATGCTCGCCGTACTCTTCGACAGAAGGGAACTAAACGATGGGGGGCCCGCATTGCTCACCTGCTCACACGGAGACCCTCTAACCCGCCTGGGGCACGGCTGGGGGCAGAGGCCCCAGGGACCTGGCCGCGGAAGCACGACAGCACGCACACCTGCTCCGCGGTCTAGCGTCCCGTTTCTAGGAGCCCGGCCCTCAGATCCCCCGGCAAACGTACAAAGACCAGACATCACTCAAACAGCCCCCACGGTGCCTGGGAGGTATGCACAGCCCCGGGAGGCCCCAGGAGGCCACCTGATGCTGGACCACGCGGGTAAGCAGGGGCTCCGCATCGCCATGGCTCCACCGGGCAAGGAAAAGGTGCCACAGCCTCGAGTCTGTCTGAAGACAGAAGCCGACACTCCAGCGGGGGCAGACAGACCAGAGAGTTGCGAACGGCCCCTCCAGGGGAAAGGGGACACGCACAGACAGGTCAGCGACAGGAAGGTAAATTCTTAGAATATACTGGAACCTCAACTACAAGATTTGACTTTGGATTCACAATCTTGAAACAAAATTAGTTCAGATAAGCAATCTCCAAACGTCAAGAATAAAATGAAACAAGTGAACGCACACAGGCACCTCGGGCACAGCCGCCCGGGGACGGGGTCACGCAGGGATTTAAAGTGCACGGACTCGAGACGCACCCTGAGGACAACACGAACCACAAAAGACAACAAACTTGCACGTTTCAGTGAACCCGCTGTCAGCGGCAGAGCTGGTCCTTCCCTCCAGAACCGTGACGCATGTGGGATAGAGCAGGTGAGCCATTACATGCTCATCTAGATCAGACATCTCCAGTGTTGCTAAAAACTGAGCTTATCGGGGTTGCCTGGGGGGCTCAGTCGCTTAAGCGTCTGCCTTCAGATCAGGTCATGATCCCGCGGTCCCGGGATGAGTCCCGCATCCGGCTCTTTGCTCAGCGGGGAACCTGCCTCTCTCTCTGCCCCTTACACCGCTCATGCACACGTGCGCGCTCTCTCTTAAATAAATTAACAAAAATCTTAAAAAGAAAACTGAGATTATCAGTGTGGGAGAAAAGAGGCACAGACAGAAGACAGAGGAGGTTAGATGAATCCTGTCATCCCAAATTTAAAGCACCATTGAAACAAATCAAAACAGCTCCTAGCTCTCTCCCCTGGGAAAAACCTAGAAAAAAGCAACCCGATAGCCTCCCTAGGGCCCAGCTGTGGTCTTGAGTTCTCTCTCTCTCAACAAGATTCTGGACAGGGAGGTACAGAATGAGCCGAGCACCTTCTGTAAAGGATGGCGGCCGACCTGAAGATGCTGTTACCAGCCAGAGGTGGAGCAGCTTGGGGCCAGGACACACCAAGGAGGTTTAACTCCACGAATTAAAAAAAATGACAGAACACACGCTGGTTGGTTATCCTGGTCATGCCAGGTAACGCGGATGAACCAAATACATCACTTGACAACTGGGATAAAGAATCACTCCCTGACCCTGACTTTCTTATGCAAACCACACTCACAGCAGTGGAAGGGCTGCTCTCCGCACAGAAGCGTCCCAGGAAATAAAGGCAGAGTGACTGTGCTGGCGCAGCTCCATGACAACTGGGGCACCGACTGCAGAGAGCTCAAGGTCAGAAGAGAAGCAACAAAGAGGTGTCCACACACAGACTGAGAAGCACAGACACAGGAACGGTGCTCGAGACAACCGTGAATTTGAGGACATTAACAGACCGCGTGTTTTCCTGCACTAGGGTACCAGGACTGCGGTCATGTTAAAACAGAATCTGGGGGCATCTGGGGGCCTCAGTCAGTTAAGTCCAACTCTTGGTTTCAGCTCAGGTCGTGATCTCAGGGTCCTGGGATCGAGCCCCACATCAGGCTCGGTGCTCAGCACGGAATCTGCTTTAGATTCTCCCTCACTTTCCCTCCCACTCTCTCAAATAAATAAAATAATAATAAGAAGAAAACCCAGAACCTGAATCCTTCAGCAATACAAGACATCTTCGCAAGTGGAGTTTGCTTCAAAATACCAGGGGAGACAGGAAGTAATGAAGTGTGGCTGGGGGGTGATGACCCCTGGCGAAGCCGTGGGTGCCGCCGTGAGTCGGGGCGGGACTCGGCCCTGCCCGCTGCTGCACGTGCGGGAAACAGCCCATGTGGGCCAGCGCGGCGCTGGGGTGCGGCAGGCCGAGCCGTGCGGAGAACGGTGTCTCCGCTCCAGAGGCAGAGCCCCCGCATGCTCTGCTGGGGCGGCTCTGGGAGCGTGCTGACCCACGTGTTCCATTCGCCTTAATCTGAACGCATCCCGTCCCCAAGGGGGATTCCTCGGGAATGCGATGGCGCAGCTCCATGACTGAGGGCAGAAGCATGCTGGTGAGCAGCGCAGGGGCCAGGGCCACACGCCTGCTGCAGGACAGTCACCGGAGTCCGCGTCAGCCATGGCCCGCGGGGGCACTCTTCTCTCCCAAGGGCCACAGCTCACATCCACAGGGACCGTCCAGACCGTCACGGAGACCATGAGAAGAAAAGCCCGTGGCTCCGGACCCCAGACACCCAAGCCTTCCGCCGCAAACCCAGAGCAGCTGAGCTCTTCCTGCAGCCGGCACGGGGGGCTGGAGGGCTGGAGCCCTGAGCCCTGCACACGTGCCCACGGCCTGCCCTTGGTGTGCGTCAGGGAGCCCAGCGTCCGAAGCCCACCGACTCCCAGCCCGTCCTGGGGCTGGACGTGCACCCCCGTGGTGCTGCCTGCGCCAGGAGCGCGACCGGCGGGATTGTCTTCCCGCTGCCCGTGAACACTGTGGCCTCTTCTCTCCCTTGCCCTTACGTCTCTGGCCCTTTCCGAGTCTACTACCTCTGCCTCATGCCGCTATAAACACGCAGAGCACGTCTTCCACAACCAGCAGTGCCGCAAATTCACAGGAATTAAAAATGTTTCAGCTTAAAGCCCCAAAATGGGTCCATCTGGACTTACCAAGCCGATGCATTTCTTTAATATGCTCCACACGCTGAAGTCACTTCTGGAGAACATCGGGGCAGGCAGCGACGTCCTGCAGAGAAGCGACCGAGAAGCAGGTACTTACTCCGCCGGCACGACAGTCGCTCTCGGCCAATCAGAAACCGCATGTCTGTGCTAGAAGCTGTGGTGCTGCTCCGTGCCAGAGAAACGGTCATGGCCACACGGACAACTTTCCTTGCCCTCCACAGAGTCGGGGACAGGGCGCTTCCCCGCCCCGGAGCAGCCCCGGAGCAGCTACGGGCCCAGAGGCAGAGGCCAAGACACGAGGACACAAGAGGGAACCGAATTAACAAAACCTTTCCAGAAGCCTGCCATAAGCTCCTTTCAAACGTGAGTCTGTTTTCCTGAGCTACATTCCTCGTCGGGCTCTCTTCCCACCAGCTTCTGGGGGAAGCCCAGCAGTCTCCCTCCTGGGAATGTGGAGCTGGGATGGGATGCTCTCTCCTCCTGGAAAGGGGGTGCCTGGGCAGACTAGGAATCCAGATTTGGGGGGAGATGTGCTGGACCCACGCGCCGCAGATAACCCATCGGCAGGCAGCCACAGTGTGGGGGGCCCCCAGAAGGTGCCAGGGTCAGGAAGGGCCCCCCGCCCCGAGGTGAGCCTTGTGTGAGTCAAAAGGAAAAGCCAGAACTAGAGAGACACAGGAGGAGAGCGCCGTGGCCAAGGGAGCCGAGCACACAGAGCTCCGCTGTGGGAAAGGCCCGGGTGTCCCCGAGGACTCGAGAGAGGCCCCTGTCAGCTGGGACCAGGGACAATGGGACAGGGGCCTGAGCCGGAGGAGTAGGGCCAAGCCTACGTCCCAAGAGGAGGGTAGCCTTACAGTCCCCTAACCCAGCTGAGACCTTTCTGTTAGCCATCACCGGGGACCACATGGACATCGGCCAAGAATTCCAACCACGAGATGGAGGAGGCCCGGTCAGACCCACCTTGTGGAAAGATGACTCTGCCCACAGTACAGAGAGGAGACGAGAGGGTGTGGAAGCAGTTACGGGCACCACAAGGCACAGGAGAAGCGGGGCCAGCTAGCCTGAGGTACAACAGAGGGGCTAGGAGTCCTGAGGGACCCAGGCCCGTGGAACAAGGCCAACATGTCAGAGCTGGGCGACAGGGCACAAGGGAAGGAGCGTGGCACTGGGCCGACGTGTGAACCAGACTCCCGGGGCGCTGAGGGGATGATGGCAGAGCTCAGATCAGCAGAGCCCCGCCTGCTCTCAGGCCATCTGGGCACGCAGGGGGAGCTCCGACACCTGCTGAGCGAACGGACGAACAGAGGTGTGAGCGAGGCGTCTGAGTCCCCCCGGTGCACACATCTAGCAGGCACAGGGGTCAAAGGCTCAGAGCGGGTCTGCGGTGAGGCTGGAGGGCTCCCTCAAGCCACAAACCAAGTCATCGTGGCGTGGACAGAGGCCGCCTTCCCACTGCCATGGACGCCGTCCAGGGGCCCCAGCACAGGTGACAGAGGCCGGGTTGCTCCTCCCGCTCAGGGCTCAGGAGAGCTAAGGGGCGCCCCTGCAGCACAGCGGGGGCGGCCACAGACGCCCTGGAAGATCCTAAGTTACACACACACGACGACATACCTGTACTTCTGAATTCCGTTCTCTCGAGGGGGCCTCTCCCCGACCTTTCCGATCCCATTGCTTCTGCCAGTGTCCACGCGCATCACTCCGGCAACCCTCTGATCCGCCTCTGAAAAGTCCCCGGCAGAGTTCTCAGAATCAAAGCCTGCACACGACAAGCAGATCGGTCATTCTCGCAGGACCGGGAAGACGCCCAGTCCACCTCCAAGAGTCCCGACCCCGCAGCAGAGTACCAGAGGCACTGACACACGCTGTAGCCACGAGCTCTGCCCCAAGAGCCCCAGGCCGAGGCAGAGGACATGGGCACACCGGCTCTCGGGGGCCTTTCCCGGGAGCAACTCGGCCAGGCTGCTGCCTGAGGTTTGGCCCTCAGGCAGGGAGCAGTCTGGCCTCACTCCAGTCAGGCCCACCTTGAGGCCGCAGCACGCTCTGACCCTGCACAAGGTCTCGTTCTAGAACACAAGCCACGGGAGTAGCCTCTGCGGAACAGGAACTGTGCGCGGCAACACGCACGGCCAGACTCACGCCCGTGAGCGAGGGGCCGAGCACGGCCAGAGCGGCCGGAGTCCAGCAAGCCTCCCCCCGCAGCACAGAGCTCCGGCGGTGGGTTCCTGGGGACTTGCCCACTGGGAGGGCCTCCTCCCAGAGCAACAAATGGGCCTCGCCAGCGCTGGGCCGCGGCTGCCAGGACAGAGTCCGCCCAGCCGGGGACGGGGCTCCGGGACCATCGCGCTCGGCCATGACGGTGACCACGGGAGGGAAGACACGAGACCCAAAGGGAGCTGAGCTCCCGCCAGCCCCTCACTTGGCAGATGAAGGCGAGGCCCGGGGCATAAGGCCAGGCGGGGGAGCGCTGCCAGCCCCGAAACGTAAACAAATCTGCGGCTGTGCTTCCCTGAGCACATGCCGACATCCTCCCCCCGGCTCCTCCCCGCGGACAGGTTCACGAGCTGCAGCAGGTACCGCTCCATGCCTGGGTGGCTCAGTGGGTTAAGCCTCTGCCTCTGGCTCAGGTCATGATCTCAGGGTCCTGGGATTGAGCCCCACATCGGGCTCTCTGCTCAGCAGGGAGCCTGCCTCCCCCCTCCCTCTGTCTGCCTCTCTGCCTGCTTGTGATCTGTCAAATAAATAAAATCTTTAAAAAAAATAAGAAAGATTTTAAAAATTAAAAAATAAACATAAAAAAACAAAACGTTCCCCTTCCATGGTACTGATCCTGGGCCGAAGTAACTGCCTCCCCAGCCTTTGCCTGGTGCCTGCTGGGCTTGGACACTTTGTCCTACTTTCCTCCCAGCCACGGACTCAGACCAGTGCTCCGCAGTGAGGCAGTCAGCCTCTGCGGCTCTCCGGCTGCGTCACTGCACTGGGCGACTCGGTGCCTTTCTTCTATTATCTGGTTTGGAACCGAAGGACTGAGGTGAGAAGGCGCCATCCCCCGGACAGCTGTGTCCTCCTGTCTCAGGGACGCACAGATGAGCGCAGCAAGCACAGAGGCAGAGACTGAGTTTCTCTAAATGGCATGCTGCACAAAGCTCATGTCCTCTCAAGAGAAAACTCTCCAGGCCAAGGTCAGAGACGTGTTCGGGAATCTGGCTACACTGATCCCAGGCCAAAGGGAACTTCCGACGAGACCCCAGAGAGAGGGGTGCACCAAGGCTGCTCTCTTGCTTACAAGCACCATCGCCCCCCACAAGGGCCTGGTGGCCCATGGGCCTGAGTCCCTGATGACCACCGCGCTCCGTGGCGACCAGCTGCACACGGTGACTGAGGAGGGAGGTCAGGCAGAGCAACACGCTTCCCAAGAAGCACGTCCGTGAGGAGCACCGCAGCCCCGAGATCGTGGAGGAGGACTTAATAATTTGGCCTCTGAAAACCACAGACAGCTCAGCGCCTCCTGCTTCTTGGATTTCAAAGAAATAGTCAGTAGTTGGGGGCTGCCAGTCCCCCAACCTGCTGCGACCCTTGGTCTGCGGCTGGTGAGTGACAGTTAGCCCGAGAGCCAGCAGACAGACATGGTGGCACACGGCCAAGCAGGCCTAGAGGGCACAGTGACAGCAGTCACTGGCAGAAGGAGCCCCTCTGACCTGAGAGTCCGCCACTAAAAACCCCAAGAAAGAGTTCAAAGTTGCCATTATGGTCCTCTACCTAACGAGGGGGGAACGGGACTACAGGAGTCTCTCCAAGTCCCTTTCCACCAATAACGGTCCTCAGCAGACGACACATGATGTTCCAAATGTTGACCATGAGAAGGAATGGCCGGCTTGAGCATGAAGGGTCGTTAGGACCATACGGTCACTGCACACTTGCCCCCTTAGGGGCTTGGGGCTTCTTCCCACCAATGGGGAGAAGAGGCCACTCAAAGCCAGTGTGAGCTGGGCCAGCCCAGCCCGCCCTCCCCTCCCCGTGCCCAGCCCCATACACGCACACATTGGCCTTGCCCCGTGCTGGTTCCTGCAGGCTCACGCTCTCGTCTACGGGCGGACAGATGACGGGAGTGCACCAGTCCTGACAACGGTCTCAGAAAAGAGAAACTAAACCAGATCTAGTTCTAACGCAAAGACAGCAAGGCTTGATCAGTGCATACAAACGACATAAGAAAACGCACCATCTCGTTTAGGGATCCCGATAAAAGCGTGTATACTCCAGGGCAACTCTTAAACCCAAAACTCAGTTGCTCTTTCTTGTTACGGCCTGTGGCCTAGAGCCTCCCCCCGCATGCTTCTCTGAGCGTCAGTGCGGGGAAACATGTCCCACTTCTCGCCTGCACAGCTTTACCAAGCCTTCTCACGCGCCCAAGGCCAAGTCTGGGGCCGGGACGCCACGGCCTCAGAGTCACTTCCTGCCCCACTCACCTGTGACAGCATCGAAGAATTCCTCCTCGCCGTTCATCCTTCGGTAGCCGGGCTCCCTTGCCGCCCGGTCTCGGCCTTTCTACAGAGTCATTGTACCGGACCTACATCAGCGTGTAAGTAACTGTACGCTGGCAACTTCCCTTTTGGTAAAAACCCAACAGGCACTGGAGATCTAAGGGGAAACACATTTCCATATACTTAGCTTTCAAAAGTTTTATGGTTTAGAAACATTTTAAAAATACCCAATCATCATTATTGCAATCAATCTCCATTTACAATTTAAGCAAAGAAATGAAATGAATCATCTAAGAAATGCATGATCTCAAAAAATATGAAACATTCCTAATATAAATATCCATCAACCAATAACAGATTAATAAGTAACCATTATCTGAAGTTATTTTTTAAAATCGTTATCTACAGTTGTGTAAGAAAACAATAACGCTGGAATCAACAACACGAGAAACACCACACGAGAAAGTGTTGGCGAGGACATGGAGGAAGAGGAACCCGAGTGCCCTGCTGGTGGGAGCGCAGGCTGGGCAGCCACTCTGCAGCCCGGGAGGAAGGGCCTCAAACACTAAAGCCAGAACGACCACATGATCCGGTAATTCTGGGTATTTACCCAAGAAAACAAAAACACTAATTCTGAATGATAAATGCACCCTTCACTGCAACAATATGGACAGCAGCAGAGATGGAGAAGCAACAAAGTGTCCACAGATAGAGGACTGGACAAAGATGGGTGTGTGTGTGTGTGTGTGTGTGTGTGTGCGCGCGCGCGCGCGTGTGTGTGTGGGGGGGACACTACTCGGCCACAAAAAGGACGGAATCTCGCCATTTGCAACAACATAACAGTGAAATACGCCGGAGACAGACTAACACCACATAACGTCACTTACATGTGGAACCAGAAGACAAATGAATAAACAAAAAAACAAACAAAAAGCAGAAAAGACCTATAAATACAGAGAAGAGAGCGACGCTTGCCAGGGGCGTGGGGGAACGGGGAGGGGGAGGGGAGAGTCAGGCTTCCAGCTGTGGAGGGAACAGTCACGGGATGTCACCGGGGCACTGCGACAGCCGGCTGTGGTGGCAGACAGCAGCCACCCCCGTGGTGAGCTCGGCATCACTGGGTTGTACACCTGAGACTAATGTAACATTGTGTCAATGATACCTCCTTATTTTAAACTAGTAACAAATTTTTAAAAAGAAAACAGTGAGGGGCGCAGTTAAGCCCCTGACTCTTAGTGTTGGCTCAGGTGCGATCTCAGCGTGGTGAGGTCAAGCCCCGCACTGGGCTGCACCGGGTGTGGAGCCTGCTGGAGAGCACCCCCCCCCCGACCTCACGCTCTCCCTCGCTCTCTCCCTCGCTCTCTCCCTCTCTTTAAAAAGGAAAACCACGCAATGATTGATGTGGGGGAAGCTGCCGGACAGGGCAGGTCAGTTGCGGTGAGGTGCTCACACGTCTGGGGTTCAAACACACCCCAGAACCTCCCGCTGAAGGTCGCTGTAAACAAGAAAGTGCACACGATGACGTCCGAGCCCGTGTCACACCGACTGTAAACCAAGTTTCCACCCCAGAGAATGAAGGCAGCCGCGTGAGTGAGCGGCCATTGACACAAACTGAAACCGACTTAGACTTTCTCCAAATTATTTTGGCAGAACTCACACATCCCTGTATGAAAAGCAGGATTTTATAAACAACAGCAGCAGGTCAGCCTTGTCCCCAAACCTTTCCCATTTTATGAAAACAGGCTGAGTCTACATCTAACTGTGTCAGCCACACAGACGTTGGGGCCCAGAGCCCACCTCCCGGTTCTGGGGGCAGTGAAGGCGCAGGTGGTCCCCAGGGAGGGACACGCCCTCCGTCCTTGGAGAGGCGGCACAGTGCTGGGTGACACCTGCTCCTCTCTGGCCGTGTCCTGAGCACACGTGAGCTTCCACGCTATGGATCAGGCCAGCACGAAGCCGCCCTGAAAGGCTCTCTGAGACCCCGTTCTTCTTCCCACCGTGTGGAGCCAAGCACCAGGCAGCTTCTGGAAACACCCATACAAAGCCTCGCCCAGTGGTCTGACATTGTCGCCTACCATGTTAGGGAAGTGACCACTTCCTCTAATTCCTCTCTGACATGACCTGCCCCGTCTACGACACACAGCCACTTGCTCAGTCACTCTGGAAGCTGCTCGAAGGAACCAGAGTCCCTGGGGGAGAAATGGCTGACTCCAGGACCAGGAACCCTCTTGGGCAGCAAGAAGCCAGAGGCTCACATCACAAGGCTCAGGACGAGCCCACAGAGGCTCCTGCTGCGACAAGGGGAACATCTAAGCACCAGCGCACAGCAAGAGATGGAGACGCGTCAGATACAGCTGAGCTCGTGAGCTCCAGCAGACGCCGGAAGGAGACGAGGTGGTCACCCTGGGGGACGCCCACACATTGAAACCAGTCACCGACCGGGAAGCACCAAGCCTCCACCCAACCTTCTTTCAGGCGCGGGCTCTGGGCCACCATCTGGCCAAATGCCAGAGGGGGAGCGGCCTGACAGCCGGACTCCAGCAAGTCGGCGCAGGGGTGGGGGGTGCATGTGGGGCACAGCTGTGCAACATGTTCGGGTGGCTGTGTCCGGTGACGCCTGGAGGCCACCCACCAGCAGTGCTGCAGGACCCGAACCGGGTGTGCCACGTGCCCCCAGCACAGGAGGGCACCACCCCCGTCTGCCGTTGTGCCCCAGAACCTCAGCCCAGACGCGGCCCAGCCTCCGGCTCTCACCGCCAACCTAAGGAACACAGAGCACAGGGCAACGTGCTGAGCTCCAGCCTGATGACAGTCAGCAAAATCCAGACTCTCGGGAAGTCTGCACGACAGACCGAGCTTCTCGGAGAAACAAATCACAAAGGACAGAGCGGGGCAGGAGGGTGGCCTCCCCAGTGCACCTGGCCCACCAGCTACACGTCCAGCTACACCCAGGAACGGACAGCCCTGCCCAGGGTGAAAGTGTGGCAGAGAGTGGAGGGCGAGGTCCTGACCGAGGGGACGGTTTCAGGGGTGTATACATAGGTCAAAATTTACTGGACGGCTTAAACATGGGTACTTGGTTGTACATCAGTTAAACCTCAAATAAGGTACTTTTCAAAAAGACACAGGTGTCCTAACGGCACACTCACAGGAGACCTCTTGAGAGCCACACACTGAAGTCCAGGTGGACGGAAGGTTATGGCCGGGATCTCCCTCCAAGTGACCTGGAAGCAGTGGGCGGGACAGGTGGGTGGTGGCCCAAGCTGGTCCTAGAGGAAGCCGGGATGGGCGCACAGGGGACCCTTGGGCTCTGCCACCTGCCTTCCTGCACACTGAAAATCTCCCATGATAAAAGGTACATGAAAAGCCATGACATTTTCCTTTTTTATATGCTTTCTCACCCAGAATAAAACTCCTGATATTAAAAGTAAATCAATCAAAATGTATGGAAATCTTTAAATTGAGCCTCTAAGATGTCAGGCAGGACAGGCGCGGGCTACCAACCAGGCCAGTGCTGAGGAGCCTGCTGGGAAGGCCTCTGCCGCAAACCCCACACACTGCACAGGGTCAGTGATGGAGTCCGCACAGCACCCGCAGGCCAACTCAGTCTTACAAGGTCAGTAATTAATTCTAACGGTCTCGAGGGAATTCCTGAAAGAGCTGTCTTCATTTTGCCTGGGCACCCAAACTCCCCACTGCCACAGACCATCAAGGCCAAACGGCGAATTCCCTCACGACTTCCACAAACACCCACCGATGGCCACTTGGTGCCAGGCCTGGGGGGGCTCCGGGAGGCTCTGCAGGGCAGCCCCAGGTCCTTCACATGCCCACCGGCCCACCAGACCTCGTCGCAGAAGAGGGGCCCTGGCCACCACCTGGGGCCCTGTAGCATGTGGTCGTCTGCCCAAGGGGCTGAGCTGTCTGGGGTGCTGGACGTGGGTCTCCCACCCCCAAATCTGGCCCACACACCCTGCAGAGGGGAGCGCAGGGCCATATGCATAAAGCCGCCCCCACCCCCCACAGCAAGAAGGCGATGGAACTAAGGGACACTGAGGCTTTGTAACTCAGTCCTCCACCACGATACACGGATACACAGCAAGTCAACTGTTCAAGAAACAGCACTGAGAAGGCAGAATTTAGTATTTCCTACATATGTTCTTCACGCAGATTTTGTTGTGCATTCAGAAGACATCCACGAAGACAGTAGTTCAGGAAAAGGCTTTCTTTCTTTTTTAATTATCTCTTTCTATCCAACTGTCCCCTCTTCTAACTGCAGAGAAAACCCAGGAAGCTAAGCCTGTACTGCCCATCGTCACTGGCCTCCTGTCATCTGGCTGTCCTTCTGCACTGCCCTCAGGCCCTAGAGTGATGCCACGGGGCTGACCTGGCCTCACGGAGGGAGAAGACGAAGGAGGCAGAGGTCCTGACCCCTCCATGTGGGGTCCTCCCACCATGGGCTGCACTGAATCCTCACTCCCAGACTCTTCAGGGGGACACCAGTCCATGACCTCACCATTCCTCCCAGTCTCCCACAAAATGCCTATTCCCTTGAGAAGAGCCGCGGCTCTCTTTACCGTGTGCACCGGCTGCCGTCTGCACGTCCGGGAGCCTGGCTCCACACAGAACATCCCGTTCCCGCTTGTGCAAACACACACGCACTTGAACAAACGCCACTCCAGTCTTGCAAACCCAGCTGTAGCACGCTCTTAGAAAACCAGATCCACTCACACAGGAGTAAGGGACTAGCTAAGGGACCCAGACACTGACCTTCATGGTCAACTCACCAAAGAGATGAACCGTGCATTATTTCTCCTCTCTACGGAAAACTGGCAAGGCGACCTAGGTGTGACCTTCACAAAGGAAAGGGACACAGCGATATGAACACTCGAAAAGTACTTTTGCAGTTCAATATCAACTGTGAACTTCAACTGTCCAAAATAATATAAATTCTATTGAATAATTTAAAAATGCACAGGCAAGCATCAACCCGACGGGTGGGACGTGAGGAAACAGAGCACTTCGGACCACGCCCCGCAGGCTGGAGGCAGCACGGAGCGCCCAGAGCGCGCCACCCAGCAGCGCCGGTGGTACACGTTCTTCCCGAGCACACACGGGACAGCGTCCAGCAGAGGCTGCATGTCAGGCCACAACCTACATCTCAACAGATTTTACAAAACAGTCTCAGGCAAAGCATCCCGTCACCCTGAAAGGCGATGAGTTAGAAATCAAGAAGAACGGGAAAACTGGAATATCCCCCGACGTGTGGCGATTCAGTGGCGGGCTCTGTAGCAAGAGATCAAAGAAGAAAC